GTTTTTTTTAATCCGTTTCGATTTGCCCAATCCTGCATAAAGCCCAGGATTAGTCCATTCGTTGCTACATTATTTCGATAAGATCCAATAATTCAATTGCCTCAACTCCTCTGCTTGTCTGTAAGCTGTTGGAGATGGCTTGGCGATTTTTCCCACTTCTTTCTAAATCATACTTCCTGGCCCCACCACAGCTCAGCTGAATGGACCTCGATCGTCGTCTAAACTACACGGTGATGAAATGTAGCTTTCGCTTCTTGTCAAACCAATCAGAGAACAGTCGCCTTGACTGCTCTAGTCCGAGGGACAGTGAATATTTGTTGTTAGGGCATCTTTTTGTCGACATGCTTGTTGGCATAAGCGATGTGAAGAAGTGGGACGGAAAATGGGGTGTGTGCCGAGGAGCGCTATGCTCAATGTTGGTTGACCCGGTTATGCTCGAGGCGGCCTCCGGGCTTTTAAGCGTCGTTTTGCGTCGGAACCACCCTACAAGTCTCATCTTCGACTGTCCATACAAGGGGGGGGAACACAACAGCGACGCTAACAATTTGATCTTCTTTCATATTATTTATAATTATTGCACTTCTTCGAGTTCACATCACATGCAAGCCTTCACTTTTTCCATTTCATGCGATGGTGACCTTACGTCGAGCCCCATTTTGACACGAAACCAATGGCCTACTCAAACCACTCACACCATGTCGTCTCCATTTGGCTAAGTTGGTTGCCGAACCTGCATGGGCAAACATTAAACGCCAATCGGTCGCAATGTCATCCACAAAACGCGGCTGTTTCATACACATTTTCTTGTCCCCACTGGGCATACACGAAGGGTTTCATTTACTTTAGACATGTTTCGCAAAGCTGTCACCCTATCAGCCATGTTGACCGTGCAACCCTGACGAAATGAAGAGGGGTTTTGATAGTCGTTTTGTTCCGTCTATGTATGTACGTGGATTGTTTGTGTGCGCATATATACATAAGCGCCCCTTTCTGTATTGGTTACAGAATGATCGACAAGTCTGATGGGTGAAAAGGATAAATATACGCGTAAACATGTGAATATATTTATTTTTCGATGTCCAAGTAGACGCAGAAAAAATGTATGTCAATGCATGAATGTGGCAGAGAAACACACGCACAGGCATCTCTCCTCCCACTTGGTTGGTATAAAGTGGCGTAAGAAAATTAGGTCTTTCATTTCATCGGCATCCTACATGCCTCCACGAGCTCAACGCCAAATTGTGTCTACTTCGATGGTTCATTCCCTGACCTATTTGGGTCACTTTATTCTGTCAAACCGGCCAGTCGGCGGATGAGACTCTCTGATTGATATGCGTCAACGCTCGGGTCAGATTGATTGACTGGTCATGTCAACTCTTGGGTCAACACCCAACCGACCTTTTCTGCTCGGCTCTTGTATCACCCAGCCAGATCGTCCATTTGTAAGTGGTATACACTCATTATTGTATGTCCTTGTGTGTATGTATGCCTGTTTGTGTGTGTGTGTGTGTGCATTTATGAACAAATTGATGCTTGCATTTGTGTGTCTAAGGGATTACGAACCCAAAAATTTGCGTCATGGTGACAAGGCAGGAGTCTGAAATGGTATTTCGCCTCCAGAAGACGACAATATGTGTAATCGCGAGGGAATGCAAATGTTCACATACCAGCGTCTGCTTGGTGTAGCTGCGGCCGAAAGTGTGCCCCTATTTGCGAGGTCCCTGACCGGGGTCAAGCCGGGAAGAGGCCGGCATTAATTAGCAATTCCAAAAAGAAAATGAGGCCTGCACCGACTTTTCTGTTTGAACCTCCCTTTCCTCCACACTACATTTGACTCTTCACGTATCACCCTTCGCCAGTCGGCTTTCAACTCTCGACTTGACACCCGTGCATAACTTCTTAGACGATTCTCATTATACCAGCCTTTGTTGTCTGAATAAAAACCCTATCTTTATAGTGACAACTTGGTGCTACTCGAAGCTTCATTCGACCGATATTTAATCGCTCCAATTGTTTTCATTTGTGAACTATACTCATGAGCTGATATAAGTAGTATGCTAGTCAAACTTGAGATAAAATCTAGTATTTGCAAAGCCTAGATTTCTAATACACTTGGAGGCATGAAAGTGTGCAGAATCGCGGCAGAGAAACGCTGGAAAGTACCATTTCATTATGCGTGACTAAGTTTTGTGCTTTATCTCTCGTCTCAACTGTGACTATTAGTGTTTTTTAATTACGCAATCTTGACATGACTTAGTGCCGCGTTCAGACATAAATTACAGCCTAGCTATGGCGACCCGATTAGAATAAGAAATTAGAACAAATTAGGCGACCGGAAATATTGCTAACAAGAGAAAAAGCATCATATCGAAAGCATCTTTGTGGATGCTGATGAAACCACTATTCCAGTTGACCTTGCTGTTATGGCTAATCGAATTACTTTTTA